CTGTTGTGTTTACAGGGAGAACAGTAGTGTACTAACTGTTCTGTTGTGTTTACAGGGAGAACAGTAGTGTACTAACTGTTCTGTTGTTTTTACAGGGAGAACAGTAGTGTAATAACTGTTCTGTTGTTTTTACAGGGAGAACAGCACTTCACCTTGCCCTTCTTTCACACTGTTTGGACAAGCCAGAGAGGTCAAAGGTTGACTGTTCCAGAACCATTCAACTACTTGTTCAGTTTAATGCTGATGTGGAGCTTGCAGTATGTACTAGTTTAATCCACACAAACAACTTGTGTTAATACAAAGTCTCATAAAAAGTCACTTGATTCTTTAAATTTGATATGGTTTGTACACAAACAAAAATCTCATCTTCTTTTAGCGCACCTTATTCTTTCAGACCAGGTGAGCTTAAAAGGAGGTACAATTTCCTTTGTGTACAAACCATACAGCCATGCTGTGGTGACCGTTCATTCGTCCATCTGGGCAAACATTCAGGAATTAGGAGTTAAGGGGAGTGGCCTAACACCATAGAATACAATAGATATATTTTATAACAATTAGGACAGACATTAACTCATACCAAATGTCTGTCAACATTTTCTTCAAACAACTTCTTCTGAACTGCTGATTGGAATTTAACCATATTTGACTCAAAAAATCTGGAGGCGGTTGGCTGATGGAGTGGGCCCAAAAATGAGTAATTTGGTCATATTGTGTTAAACATCTTCTCCTCTAGAACTATGAGGCGGATATTAATCATATTATGCAGAAATCATCCTGAGAAGGTGGGAATTTAAAATTGTACAATGGAGAGGCGCATTGGGGATAAAACACAGCCAAAAAAGGGTATTTTAGCTGTATTGCTATAAGCAATTTCTCTCTCTAGAATGGTGGATGTCAACCATATTTGGTTGGAAATATTCTCAAGTAGAGGTGATTTAAAATTTGATAAATCGATGGGAAGACAACTACCAACCCCAACTCCGAAGGGCCTAAGGGAACTACTGCTCTGGCATAATGAGAAGACTACCAGCCATATATGGTTAGAAACAACCTAAGGTGATGTGGAATCAAAGGGCATAAACAGACAGACACTTTCATGATATTAGAATTGAATTTAAATGAAAACATTTTGCTCTGATTGCTTAAATATCCAGGTGAACAATACACGCCCTCTTGTTTCTGAAAACTTAAATATCCAGGTGAACAATACAGGCCCTCTTGTTTCAGAAAACTTAAATATCAAGGGGAACAATACAGGCCCTCTTGTTTCCGAAAACCTAAATATCCAGGTGACCAATACAGTCCCTCTTCTTTCTGAAAACCTAAATATCCATGTGAACAATACAGGCCCTCTTGTTTCAGAAAACTTAAATATCCAGGTGAACATTACAGGCCATGTAGTTTCTGAAAACCTAAATATCCATGTGAACAATACAGGCCCTCTTGTTTCTGAAAACTTAAATATCCAGGTGAACAATACAGGCCCTCTTGTTTCAGAAAACTTAAATATCAAGGTGAACAATACAGGCCCTCTTGTTTCTGAAAACCTAAATATCCAGGTGAACAATACAGGCCCTGTTGTTTCTGAAAACCTAAATATCCAGGTGAACAATGCAGGCCCTCTTGTTCCTAAAAACTTGAATATCCAGGTGAACAATGCAGGCCCTCTTGTTGCTAAAAACTTGAATATCCAGGTGAACAATGCAGGCACTCTTGTTCCTAAAAACTTGAATATCCAAGTGAACAATACAGGCCCTCTTGTTTCTGAAAACCTAAATATCCAGGTGAACGATACAGGCTCTGTTGTTTCTGAAAACCTAAATATTCAGGTGAACAATACAGGCCCTGTTGTTCCTAAAAACTTGAATATCCAGGTGAACAATACAGGCCCTCTTGTTCCTAAAAACTTGAATATCTAGGTGAACAATAAAGGCCCTCTTGTTTCTAAAAACCTAAATATCCAGGTGAACAATACAGGCCCTCTTGTTCCTAAAAACTTGAATATCCAGGTGAACAATGCAGGCCCTCTTGTTTCTGAAAACTTGAATATCCAGCTGAACAATGCAGGCCCTCTTGTTTCTGAAAACCTAAATATTCAGGTGATCAATAGAGGCCCTCTTCTTTCTGAAAACCTAAATATCCAGGTGAACGATACAGGCTCTGTTGTTTCTGAAAACCTAAATATTCAGGTGAAGGATACAGACCCTCTTGTTTCTGAAAACTTAAATATCCAGGTGAACAATTCAGGCCCTCTTGTTTCTGAAAACTTTAATATCCAGGTGAAGGATACAGACCCTCTTGTTTCTGAAAACTTAAATATCCAGGTGAAGGATACAGACCCTCTTGTTTCTGAAAACTTAAATATCCAGGTGAACAAT